GGCTTTCTATCCTGTTCCATTGATCTATATTTCTGTTTTTGTGCAGTACCATATTGTCTTGATTACTGTAGCTTTGTAGTATAGTCTGAAGTCAGGGAGTCTGATTCCTCCAGCTCTGTTTTTCTCCCTCAAGACTGCTTTGGCTATTCGGGGTCTTTTGTGTCTCCATACAAACTTTAAGGTTTTTTGTTCTAGTTCTGTGAAAAATGCCATTGGTAATTTGATAGGAATTGCAGTGAATCTGTAGATTGCTTTGGATAGTATAGTCATTTTCACAATATTGATTCTTCCAATCCGAGAACATGGTATATCTCTCCATCTGTTGGTATCCTCTTTAATTTCTTTCATCAGTGTTTTATAGTTTTCTGCATACAGGTCTTTTGTCTCCATAGGTAGGTTTATTCCTAGGTATTTTATTCTTTTGTTGCAATGGTAAATGGGAGTGTTCCCTTAATTTCTCTTTCAGATTTTTCATCATTAGTGTATAGGAATGCAAAAGATTTCTGTGCATTAATTTTTTTTTTTTTATGGTACGTGGGCCTCTCACTGTTGTGGCCTCTTCCGCCGCAGAGCACAGGCTCTGGATGCGCAAGCTCAGCGGCCATGGCTCACGGCCTCAGCCGCTCCGTGGCATGTGGGATCTTCCTGGACCAGGGCACGAACCCGTGTCCCCTGCATTGGCAGGCAGACTCTCAACCACTACGCCACCAGGGAAGCCCTGTTGGAAGATTTTTAATCACAGTTTCAATTTCATTACTTGTGATTGGTCTGTTCATATTTTCTGTTTCTTCTTGGTTCAATCTTGGAAGGTTATACCTTTCTAAAAATTTGTCCATTTCTTCCCTGTTGTCTATTTTATTGGCATAGAGTTGCTTGTAGTAGTCTCTTAGGATGCTTGTATTTCTGCGGTGTCCGTTGTAACTTCTCCGTTTTCATTTCTAATTTTATTGATTTGAGTCCTCTCCCTCTTTTTCTTGATGAGTCTGGCTAATGGTTTATCAAGTTTATCTTCTCAAAGAACCAGCTTTTAGTTTTATTGATCTTTGCTGTTGTTTTCTTTGTTTCTGTTTCATTTATATCTGCTCTGATCTTTATGATTTCTTTCCTTCTGCTAACTTTGGGTTCTGTTTGTTTTTCTTTCTCTAGTTCCTTTAGATATAACGTTAGATTGTTTATTTGAGATGTTTCTTGTTTCGTGAGGTAGGCTTGTATAGCTATAAACTTCCGTCTTAGAACTGCTTTTGCTGCATCCTATAGGTTTTGGATCATCGCGTTTTCATTGTCATTTGTCTCTAGGTATTTTTCGATTTCGTCTTTGATTTCTTCAGTGATCTCTTGGTTATTTAGTAACATATTGTTTAGCCTCCATGTGTTTTTGTTTTTTACGTTTTTTTCCCTGTAATTCATTTCTAATCTCGTAGCATTGTGGTCAGAAAAGATGCTTGATATGATTTCAGTTTTCTTAAATTTACTGAGGCTTGATTTGTGACCCAAGATATGATCTATCCTGGAGAATGTCCCATGCACACTTGAGAAGAAAGTGTAATCTGTTTTTGGATGGAATGTCCTATAAATATCAATTAAATGTATCTGGTCTATTGTGTCATTTAAAGCTTATGTTTCCTTATTAATTTTCTGTTTGGATGATCTGTCCAATGGTGTTAGTGAGGTGTTAAAAGTCCCCCACTGTTATTGTGTTATTGTCGATTTCCTCTTTTAGAGCCGTTAGCAGTTGCCTTATATATTGAGGTGCTCCTGTGTTGGGTGCCTATATATTTATAATTGTTATATCTTCTTCCTGGATTGATCCCTTGATCATTATGTAGTGTCCTTCCTCGTCTCTTGTAACATTCTTTATTTTAAAGTCTGTTTTATCTGATATGAGTATTGCTACTCCAGCTTTCTTTTTATTTCCATTTGCATGGAATATTTTCTCCATCCCGTCAGTTTCAGTCTGAATGTGTCCCTAGGTTTGAAGTGGGTCTCTTGTAGACAGCATATATATGGGTCTTATTTTTGTATCCATTCAGCCAGCCTTTGTCTTTTGGTTGGAGCATTTAATCCATTCCCATTTAAGGTAATTATCGATATGTATGTTCCTATTCCATTTTCTTAACTGTTTTGGGTTTGTTTTTGTAGCTCCTTTTCTTCTCCTGTGTTTCCCACTTAGAGAAGTTCCTTTAGCATTTGTTGTAGTGCTGGTTTGGTGGTGCTGAATTCTCTTAGCTTTTGCTTGTCTGTAAAGCTTTTGATTTCTTCATCGAATCTGAATGAGATCCTTGCCGGGTAGAGTAATCTTGGTTGTAGGTTCTTCCCTTTCATCACTTTAAGTATATCATGCCACTCCCTTCTGGCTTGTAGCGTTTCTGCTGAGAAATCAGCTGTTAACCTTATGGGAGTTCCCTTTATGTTATTTGTCATTTTTCCCTTGCTGCTTTCAATAATTTTTCTTTGCCTTTAATTTTTGCCAATTTGATTACAATGTGTCTCGACGTGTTTCTCCTTGGGTTTGTCCTGTATGGGTCTCTCTGCACTTCCTGGACTATTTCCTGGGGGGCTATTTTCTTTCCCATGTTAGGGAAGTTTTCGACTATAATCTCTTCAAATATTTTCTTGGGTCCTTTCTCTCTCTCTTCTCTTTCTGGGACCCCTATAATGCGAATGTTGTTGCGTTTAATGTTGTCCCAGAGGCCTCTTAGGCTGTCTTCATTTCTTTTCATTCTTTTTTCTTTATTCTGCTCCGCAGCAGTGAATTCCATCATTCTGTCTTCCAGGTCACTTATCCGTTTTTCTGCCTCAGTTATTCTGCTATTGATTCATTCTAGTGTATTTTTCATTTCAGTTACTGTATTGTTCATCTCTGCTTGTTTGTTCTTTAATTCTTCTAGATCTTTGTTAAACATTTCTTGCATCTTCTTGATCTTTGCCTTCATTCATTTTCCAAGGTCCTGGATCATCTTCACTCTCATTATTCTGAATTCTTTTTCTGGAAGCTTGCCTATCTCCACTTCATTTAGTTGTTTTTCTGGGGTTTTATCTTGTTCCTTCATCTGGTGCATAGCCCTCTGCCTTTTCATCTTGTCTACCTTTCTGTGGATGTGGTTTTTGTTCCACAGGCTGCAGGATTGTAGTTCTTCTTGCTTCTGCTGTCTGCCCTCTAGTGGATGAGGCTATCTAAGAGGCTTGTGCAAGTTTCCTGATGGGAGGGAGTGGTGGTGGGTAGAGCTGGCTGTTCCTTTGATGGGCAGAGCTCAGTAAAACTTTAATCCACTTGTTTGCTGATGGGTGGGGCTGAGTTTCCTCTCTGTTGGTTGTTTGGCCTGAGGCGACCCAACACTGGAGTATACCCTGGCTCTTTGGTGGGGCTAAGGGCAGACTCTGGGAGGGCTCATGCCAAGGAGTACTTCCCAGAACTTCTGCTGCCAGTGTCCTTGTCCTCATGGTGACACACAGCCACTCCCTGCCTCTGCAGGAGACCCTCCAACACTACCAGGTAGGTCTGGTTCAGTCTCCCCTGGGGTCACTGCTCCTTCCCCTGGGTCTCGATGCACACACTATTTTGTGTGTGCCCTCCAAGAGTGGAGTCTCTGTTACCCCCAGTCCTGTCGAAGTCCTGCAATCAATTCCCACTAGGCTTCAAAGTCTGTTTCTCTAGGAATTCCTCCTCCTGTTGCCGGACCCCCAGGTTGGGAAGCCTGACGTGGGGCTCAGAACCTTCACTCCAGTGGGTGGACTTCTGTGGTCTAAGTGTTCTCCAGTCTGTGAGTCACCCACCCAGCAGTTATGGGATTTGATTTTACTGTGATTGCACCCCTCCTACCGTCTCATTGTGGCTTCTCCTTTGTCTTTGGATGTGGGGTATCTTTTTTGGTGAGTTCCAGTGTCTTCCTGTTGATGATTGTTCAGCAGTTAGTTGTGATTGTGGTGTTCTTGTGAGAGGGAGTGAGAGCACGTCCTTCTACTCCGCCATCTTTAACCAATCTCTGTATTTTCTTTGGAATGCCTGTTATAATGAAGTGGAAACACTTTCATAAATATTATTTTGTCATCTTTTCCCTTCTCTATTTGGAGATTTTAAACCTTAATTATTACTTTTTTTTTTTTTTTTTTTTTTGGGTTGAAAAAAAAAAATTAAACTTAAAAAAATAGAATAATAAGATTCTAGCAAAATTTCTAGGTACAAAATAAACATAAAAGATTAATTTCATACACCAGAAAGAAATAGAAATATCATTTAAAATTAGTTACTATTTAAAATGGGAACAAAAGATGTAAGATAACCTAAGAAGAAATCTAACAAGAGATGTACAAAGCTTTTATGTGGAAAGATATAGAAAATCCTTTAAATGTAGTAATAAATATCAAAATAAATGTAGATGTAGAGATATGCCATGTTTTTGAAGGGAACATTATTATTCATCCCCAGTTGATCTATAGATTTAATACAGCTTGAATCAAAATCACAAAAGGTTTCATAGAACTTGAAAATCTCATTCTAAAATAATTATAGAATAGTAAAGGGCTAAGATGGGCTAAAATAGATGAAGAATAACATAGGGGCTTTTTTCTACCGTAAATCAAGACATTAAAACCTGTAGTCAATGAGGTAGTACTATATTTACTCGCACAAAGACAAATTGAACAGTAAATCCAAATAAAGGGTTCAGAACTGGTTCCTGTGTATATGAAAATTTGACTTATGTTTTTTAATTTTTTGGCTGTGCTGTACAGCATGTGGGATCTTAGTTCCCTTTACCAGGGGTCGAACCTGTGTCCCCTGCAATGGAAGCATGGAGTCTCAACCACTGGACCACCAGAGAAGTCCCCTAAACCTTAATTTTTATAGAGAAACTAAAAATCAACCTAAGTTCATGATTCTGAGATCTTCTTGTGTAGTTAATGCCAAGTTGTGATTCTTGATACCAAGAAACACAGGGGTTTATAATGTTAAAAAATTTTCATTTATCTGATGAAAATAATGTATTTTTCTTCTTTATTAGAAATTCATCGAATTTGAAGACTCTCAAGAACAGGAAAAAAAGGATTTACAGACCAGAGTGGAATCTTTAGAATCTCAAACAAGACAACTTGAACTCAAGGCCAAAAACTATGCTGACCAGAGTAAGTAAAATATGTTAAAGAGTGGAATGACTCATCCTGACATGTGACTACAGTTCCAGATATATGCTTGGAATTGTCACCCCACACTCAAGAGTGAGACCTGGGAGCTTGGTTTATTCTTTTTTGTTCACATTTTCATGTGGTACCCATGTCTGCAGAAATGACTAAGTCAGACACCTATAGGACTCTCTTCAGTTTAGCTCTCAGCTTTTGTTTGTAGCTTACATTGTGTAGTAGTTAACATTATGCTGTATCCATTGTGCAGGAATTCTGGGGTGTTAAAAGTTCCACTGGTTTCTGTGTTGTTTTGCAGTTTAAAAATGTAAGAGAAACTTTAGCTTTGAAGTATGTATAAAAAAATTACTGAATTCTTTTTCATTCCTTTCTTATGGAAAACCAAGGACATTGAGGGGACTAGAATGATGTTTTTCAGAGCCATTTCATTTTTAATATAATTTCATATATTCTTGATTCAAATATAGTTATTGTTTCAAATTCCAAGGACTTCTTCCCCTTTTTGTCTAATGAAAGCAGACCTAATTAAGTTAAAATTCAAAAAAGAAACTTTATGGCATATTTTCGTGTTTGATTCAGGCAGATCACTCTCCAGTTTTCCCTCCCAGGATTGTAAACTTCTAGATGGCCCGCAGTTACTCTTCCCACACCACCCATGAAGGTTACATAGTGACACCTGCTGTGAAAGGACTGGCATTCATGAAGGATAACCTTCACTACCAGGCTTAGAGTGTGTATGATAACTGGCTGCTCCCTTTAGGACTCTGGAAGAGTCCAATAGAGCTAAAACCTAGAATCACTGGGAATCTGGAGTTTAGGCATTCTAGAATTCAAGGAGAACTCAAATGGCTGTTAGACAGATGTCACAGAAGGGAGCCAATGGATATTTGGTAATGGAAGGCCACCAGAGTGAGACAAAATGAGCCTGTGTCATGTCTTTGTTCTTTTAGGTGTGTAGATACCTAGAGTGCTGTACCCTGCCTTTGTTAACAGTGAATCCTAACTTGATTGCGTTTTCATATCAGGGACTATAGTATTTTAGAACAAAACACTAAAGGTGCAGTTGTGACAGAACCAACCTCATTCTTGTACCAAGTACGTTTACCTCTTGGCTTCTGAGGAGTATCAGGTTTTGGATAAGGAAATTTTCTTTTGACTTAGAAAGGAACTCCTTTTCTAGAATCTTTTGATGCACTAAATAATCTGCTTCTATGATAGGAAATATTAAAGGAAGAATTACCTTGTACTTGATATAGTAGCTTTTTAAATTAAGATCGTTTTCCAGTCCAATGAGTCATACCTACTTTTTTGGAATTGTCATGTTCTTTGGTGTCCATTCTCTCATTTCTCTTTCAGAAGTACTGATTACCATGTTTCCTATTTTAATTCAAAATAATTTTTTAAAAATAAGGTGTCATTTAAAAATAATTGATAATTCTCTATGGAAGGGATGAGTAAATTACTCACCAAGTATTGGATATGGTCTTGAGCTATATTTGATCTGAGAACTTTATTTTTGTTATTAATAGAATATTCTCTCAAGAATTTCTCCCCCTGGATGTCTGCTATCCCCATTTTTCCCCCTGCTATTCCATTTTGAAATAAATCTTCTTGTCTAAGTAACAGTTAACTTAAAACTGTGTTTAATCAGAATTGACCGTTGAGATGCACAAAGCTGATAGTCTCTTGGTCCATGAGCTAATGCTATAATGAGTCTCCTTTCATTTATGCTTTGGAACTTACTCCCTTCTCCTTTGATACCTTGGAATCTTTTTCTCTTTTCCATCTAATTGTTTTCCTCGCTCTTCTATTTTTTTCTAAATGAATATAATATGAAATCTAAATATATCTAAAAATTTTCTTCTGAGTCTTTATTTTACCACATTTTAAACATCTGAAAAAAATTGGGGTGGTGGTGGAAATAGTTTGACTTTTTTCATTTTACCACCTTAGTTTTCCCTTCCCCAGATCTCCAATATGAATCAAAGCCCCTTTATTTTTTAAAAAGGTGGTGGTAGGAGGTAATCTTTAAGTATCATCAGTGCCCTATCCTATTGGAAAAACGGGACTGGGAATATATTTTTTTAAAAGATGAAAACATATTTAAATGGATGTATGTCAGAGTATATTAATTCTTTTTTTGTATAATAGGATACAGAATATCTGGACTTTAATATTGTAATTTTGTTTTTTTAAGACTGTATAGTGATTTTTATTAGATTTATTGTAACCCAACATTTTTTTTTTAACTTTTTAAATGTTTTAAATGTGATTTTTAGTGTTCTGAACATCTGTATTTAAATAAGCATTTAAGGCCAAAGAAATTACTGATGATGATACCTATAGAGAGGAAGGATGCGTGCAGTTTTTTGTGTTTAGTACTATTTTTTGAGTACCGTATGATAACAATATCGTCCAATTTCCATGTTTGTTTTTATAAATATGTTAGAGTCTTTAACTTTAAAAGACTGTCAGTTCTGATTGATGTGTTTTAGGGCACATATCCCTTTTAAAAAGCAGTCACAATGAAAGTCCAAGTTCTGCTTTGGCCTACTTCTTATGTTAAAAGGGGAAATTTTGGTTGTAGTTACTTGCTATTTGAGAAGCAAGAAAAGTCAAGAAATAGGAACTGAATTAAAGAACACACTTGACAGCTTTTAATAATATGGAATCTATCAGGTTGTTGTGGTATGATTTTTAAATTTTTGATGATATAAAAAATTTGTTATAATTTTATGGTCATGTTTGATTTTGGAGATTTCTGTTTGCTCTCTTTTCAAAATTTGAACTACATAAGAATTATTTTGGCTTTTCTAACATAAATAAAGCAAGTTTTAAAAGGCCACATATTGTTCCTTATCTGGGTATAATAGTAATACTTCTTGGTAGTTAACATCTTGTAAGCCTTAAGGAAGAATCTGAAATATATGTGGAGTGGAATAAGGAAGTTGTGGATTGAGGCCCTTAGTGCTTTTCAGCTATGTAAGGTGTAAGCAATCAACCTGGCCATTCATAGTGTGGCAGCAATGAGTTTTTCATCAGAAAATACTTTTTATATTCATTATTTCTGTTATATACTGATTATTTCTATTCTTGTAAGCCAAATACTATCTTAAGTTAATACAGACATTTTAATATGTTAAAAATAAAAAACTACTACTATCTGCCCAGCATTCAGCCTCTCGGCACGGTTTTGGCACAGAAGAATATGATATGGTCATTACAGTCAAAGAAATCATAGTTTTGTGGGGAAAAAGGTTACGTGTATGACCGTCTCATCTTTTCCATATGTACCATGCTTTTATATCACTGCAGAGCGTATATATAATTTTGCATCTTTCCTTTAACATTATCATAAGTATTTTCCTTATTGTATAATCTTTATTTTTTAAATGTGTCAACACCCATCATCCAGAAGCTATGCCATCTATTAACAATTCTTGTTTTCCCTGAGGAACTGTGTGTGCTTTCTCCTTTTCTCTAATGAGAATTATTTAATGGCTACTTTGTTTTTTTAACTTGGCTACTCAGAAACTCAGAACAAATTTTGCAGTACAACCATAACTGGTTTGGACCTTACTTGGGTGGCATATTTAAATGGTTTTTTTTCTGTTCCACATTTTATACATATATAGTGAATTGTTAAGATATGTTCTTGAAAACTATCTCAAATCCTTTGTGGAATTAAGGAATGAGTGAATTGGTAAAAACAAATATAGGCGAATTTTTCAAAAAACTCAAAAATTTCTGTTGGTTGGTTGGACATTTTTTCCAGTGTAGTGAATCATATTACAGTGAGTATTTTTTCGCACCTGTAGATTGCCCTCTTTTGGTAATTTTCTTCAGATATAGTTACAGAGGTAGGGCAAGGAATATGAACATCGTAGTGGTTCTTGGTGTTTAGTAGTGTTTGGTCATTTTTTATATGAACAGAATTGGAGAAGGAAGTTGTAGCAAGTTCCACATCATTTATCATAACTTATGAATTTGAATCATTATTTACAACATATGAGCACCCAGAGCTGATGTAGAAAACCATTTATTGTCTATTGGATTTTCTCTTGGGAGAATTCTGTTGCCCTCAAGCTACTTGAGTTTATAAGAGATGACCTTTTCCTTGAATTGTGGAGAAGATGGCAAGATTTAGATGGCAGTGATTTTAAGCTACTTAAATAATCTCTGAATCTGCCCTTTCTTCCTTTGAATGAAAATCCATTTTTAAAAATTAAATGGGGACTTCCCTAGTGGCTCAGTGGTTAAGAATCCTCCTGCCAGTGCAGGGGACACGGGTTCGAGCTGTGGTCTGGGAAGATGCCACATGCCACGGAGCAACTAAGCCCATGTGTCACAAATACTGAGCCTGTGCTCTGGAGCCCACGAGCCACAACTACTGAAGCCTGTGGGCCTAGAGGCCGTGCTCTGCAGCAAGAGAAGCCACCACAGTGAGAAGCGTGAGCTCCGCAACGAAGAGTAGCCCCCACTCGCTGCAACTAGAGAAAGCCCGCAAGCAGCAATGAAGATCCAACGCAGCCAAATAAATAAGTTAAATGGAAAAATATTTTTGACACCTGAAGACATTTGTGCTAGAGTTTTATACTCTGACTTTTCTACACTTCCCATCTCCCATATAACATTCATTTGCTTTTTAAACTTAGTATAGATTTTAGTCTAATAAAATACCTTCAAGCCTTTACCTTGAAACACATTATTGGAAGGAAAACTCTCCTTTTTGGTCATAAGAATTAGCACACCATTAGAAAATAATGGAAAATAATGGGAAGGTAGTATAATCATAAACATGTTTTTAATTTTAAAGGAATAAATGGCTTAAAACATTCTTCAGATTTGGGAGTTATTTATAAGCAAGGGCTGTGTTAGTGATGTGATTGATAAATTGAGAATTTTCACAACACAGAACAAAAATAATCTTTTTCAGTTAACAGGTGTAGCTTCACACCAAAGTTAATAGTTGAGAGGGCCTAAAT